ATGATGAACATCAAAAGGGAAAATAAAGCATACTAGAAAAAATGCCAGCCAATGAGTCTGGGTGCCCAGTTTCTCTCCAATCAACCAATCAATCAATCAGTGTGTGATAAAGGGGTAAGTCATTGAATTGCTAAACAAGGAGGTAGTTCTGTGGGTTGTTTAAAAATACAGTTTCTTTCCCTCATTGGGTAATTCCAAAGGTTATTTTAGTCTGCTTGAGATAAAAGCAACCTTTTACCTGCTAAGTTGATGCTTCAACACTGAATCATAGGTCAGAGTGTGAACTGCAGGTTTAAAGAAGCCTGAGACATGGGCATGCCACATGTTTCTGGGGAATGACTCCTGTATGATGGGATGTTCACTCCATACTTGTATATCCTCAGAAAATCTTGGGAACCTGAAAAACCACAATTCTGTTTAAAAAACTGTGTTATCCCTTATTTTTTCTTTTTGTCTATTTTGGCAAATATCTCTGAACATTTCCCATCTTTGACATATTAAAAAAACTGAACATGTCCTAAATGTGTCTTTTACTCAGTCCATAAACATCCTAGTGGGACAACCATGCATAATTCATTCAGGAAATCTTCTCTTACCTCCTACCTCTGTACTCCACAAAACCCTATTTTACTATTTTATAGAAGTTTTTTTTTTTTTCTCAGTGTACTGTAGATTTCTGTTTAAATGTCTGCAACCCATCTGAACTTTGAATTTCTAGAGCATGGTATGCAAGTTTAAAAAAAATGTTTTTTCTGCCAGTCCTTACAATAACTTGCCTCTCACAATAAATGTGGAACATATGAATGAATGAGTGAATAAATGAGTCACCTACTGTTCCCTTAAGTGTATTCTAGGTTCCATCCTTCTGAGTCCAAGTACTTCTCATATGAGTCCTTTGTTTCCTTCATCCCTGTCTGTACTTCTGCTTTGTTACTTGTAGTGGGTTGAATTGTGTCCTCCAAAAGATATGTCCAAGTTTTAAGACTCCATACTTGTCTATGTGACTTTATTTGGGTAACTAAGATAAAGATCCCTTACTAAAGATAAAGATGAGGTCATCTTGAATTAGGATGTGTCAAAAATTGCACTGGAAATTAAACAGACAAAGAAGACTTTATTCAAGTCTTGCAATATAGAAGAGAGATTGAATTAGACTCCCTTGAAACAAAAGACAGGAGGATTTTTAGTGCTGAAGTGAGGTAGTGGAAAAGTACTGGAGGATGTTAGAGGAGCGGGGGTGGGGGGGTGGGGGGGCAATGTGATGAGGTCATCTGTGCTTGCTAATTGTCAATTTCTAGGTTAAGCTCCTACCCTACCACAGATACTGGAGGACAGGGGCACTATCTTTCTTGATTGATTGTATTTTAAAGGGATGGTCAGGGACCCAGGGTCAGGAAGAAGCCTTGTCTAAGGTTTAGTCAAGCTGAGGGGAAAGTTAAGGCTGTCTTGGTCATGTGGGCCTTATATCCGGTGACAATGTCCTTGTGTTCTTATGAATGAGAGGTGGAAAATAGAAGACATTCAGAAACACAGAGAAGGTCACATGAAGATGGAGAAAATGGGAGTGTTGTGTCTATAAACCAAGGAATGCTAAGGATTTCTCACAGCCATTGGAGGCTAAGAGTGGCATGCAATATGTTTTCCCCAGAGCCTCCAGAGGAACCCACCTTGCCAACACGATTAAGATCTTTTGGACTCAAGGCCTTGGAGAGAATGGATTTCTGTTTTTTTAAGCCGATCAATTTGTGGTAATTTGTTGTGGCAGACCTAGGATTGTCATACAAGAAATTTATGGAAAGGTTTCTCTCCAATTCCCATTTAACTCCAAAAAGTTAAAATTGTACATCTCATTCATGACGTACCTTACATGTTTTGTTCCTGCATCCTTTTTTTCTTTTCTTTTTTTCCTCTTTTTGGTACCAGCCAAAAGCCATGGCTTCCTCCTCTGAATTCTTTTGATAATGCTGATGATAAGGGTAAAAAAGCTGGAACTTGTTTAGTATTTGCTCCATCAAACATGCTTTATGTCTTATCCTTCTTAATCCTCATAAAGATATAACAAGGTAGGTACCATTATCTTTTTATATTAAAAATGAAGACACTGAGGAACATAAGGATTAAATAGTACTAAGTAGCAGAATGAAAATTTGCTTTGAGATCTGACTGCAGAGCCCTGTGCTTAACCACTTTACTGTATTTTTCAGTTTATATAATTGAATGTTTATCTTTCTTATGTCTCATGTTGTCTCCTATTATAGTTATCTACTCATTTTTCTTTTTTAGTATAAACTATTCAGCTGAGATAACTAAAAATCACAGATGCCCAAGCATATCCATTTAATCTTCCTATTTTAAAGGTTTTCTAATATTATTTATATTGTGATGCATTTCTTTCAACTTTTATGATTCAAGAATTGAGGAAACTTGCTTGAATACTTTTAACCTTTAAATAATTTTTTAATGTTTAATTTTGAGAGAGAGAGAGAGAGAGAGAGACAGAGTGTGAGCAGGGGAGGGGCAGAGAGAGAGGGAGACACAGAATCTGAAGCAGGCTCCAGGCTCTGAGCTTTCAGCACAGAGCCCGATGCAGGGCTTGAACTCATGAACCACGAGATCATGACCTGAGTTGAAGTCAGACACTTAACTGACTGAGCCACCCAGGCACCCCAACCTTTAAATAATTTAGAAGTTCTGTCTTATTTATCTTTTCACAGAATTTAGCACAATTCTTTGAATATCAGAAATGCCCAAATTTTACTGAACGAATACAGTTAACCCAAGGATCTGCCCCTATATGTCCCCAAATTCCTCAGCATTCTAGGATCATATTTTCCTTTAATATTTTAATAGAATGGCTCAAGCCCCTATTGGACATGTGGTGGGAAGCCAATTGCTCTTCTGCCCCATAATACTTCTGAGTCTTGCAAGTTGGGGGAGGAGTCCATATATGTTCTCTGCTCACCTACCACTTGAGTTGTTTTCCTTTGAACTCCTGCTATCAGTTTCATTCTGTGACTTGTCTCCTGGGATTGCAATCCTCTTGCTATCCTGGGTACTGTTCCACTGACGTAAGAGTGCTATCTGGGAGACGCTTACTGATGGCTCGGACTGTAAAGGGGATTAAAGCATATCCCAGCTTTAATTTATTCATTCAAGAATTCACCAAACATACTAGCATTCATTGAGTGTCTGGTGGCACTGTGGTGGGCACTGGGGAGACCAATAATAAACAAATGAAGTCCTCACATTCATGTTGCCCATACTCAGGAAAACAAAACTCAGTCAGGCACACAAATGAATGTAAAATTACAATGGAGGTAAGTATGATGAAGGAAAGGCCCCTGATGGACTGAGGGCTATGGTAGTGGGCTTGCACAGAGAGTGGAAGGGTAAGTGTACGTTAGCCAGCCCTGTGGCAGAGAGCAGCAGGGGAGAAAGGCACTGGAGAAAGGGTGACAGCACATGGAAACCATAGTAGGGTGGGGCAGGATACACTGCAGCAACTACAAAAAAGTCCATGTGCTAGAAACATACAGATGCAGGCCAAGAAGAGAAGTGAGTCTGGAAAAAAACATGCAAAGCCACTTTGCCAAGTGCACAGTCTACTTCAGGCTTTCTTGACAATAAATGTGATCTAAATCCTAAAGTTAAGTGGGAGTTCTTAAACAGTTTGAAGTAGGGAATTGACATGATTCCCTTTGTATTTTGAAAAAAGTTCTGGCTACTGTATACAGATGAGACTAAAAAGGATGAGGCGTGGTGGATGCAGGGATTCGAAAAAGGAAGTGTTGGTCCAGGTGAAAGATGATGGTTCAGACCAAGGAAATGATGGTGGAAATGTAGATAAATGGAAAGATTTCAGAAGCATTTAGTGCCGCATAAAGCAAGAGGACCTAGTGATATGAGGGAAACATAGGATGTCAAATGTACAAAGCTCATTAAAATTTGCTGGATAGACAGAAAATTGCAAAAATTACACCAGACATTGCTGTCTTAAAAAGTGATCAGACTTTTCTGAATATGGAAAATTTTCATGGGCTATGTCTCTCCTTAGCTTCTTGCCTAAGAGCTTTTCCTTAAACCCACTTTCTCTCCTCTAAAACCATATTCTCTACAACCATTTTGTTGCTTTACGTATTTCTGGATTCACAACAATTTCTTCATAATAATTGTAACATAATGCAACTATTATGTGGACAATTTAACACTAAGTCTGCACTAGTTTAGAGCCTAGGTTTGCACTGCCAACACTTCTATTGAACTGTTTGTAAACTGTTTGCCATAGTTTCACCCTTAGTACTACAAAGACCTTGGAGAAGTACTGAAATCACAGCATTTTTTGCTTTTTTTTTAGTATATCTTAGATCAAATTCTTAGGCTTAGACTTTCACCAGACCTTCCAGGGTCATGGGGTTATGTATGGCTATGGGAACTTTAATCTCCCCATTGGACAAAATTTATGTCATGCTTCCTTAAACCCTTCATTTCCTATCATCTCCTGTGCTACTGACTATGCCTCCTAGGAGAAGATAACTTTTTTAAAAATTTATTTTGGGGGTGGGGGGGGGGAGAGAGAGAGAGAGAGAGAGAGAGAGAGAGAGAGAGAATGCAAGCATGAGCTGGGAAGGGGCAGAGAGAGAGGGAAAGAGAGAATCCCAAGCAGGCTCCACACTGTGTGGGGTTTGAACTCATGAACTATGAATTTGTGACCTTAGCCAAAGCCAAAAGTATGAATGAGTACCCAAGCATCCCAAAGATTACCTTTTTATTATTTTCTAGTTCTGATACTATATATCATTCCCTACCTTCTAAAATGTCAGTTTAGGTAACCCAACATTATTTATAGAAACTAAAAGCTATAGATAGTAGTCTACAAAGAATAAGTACTTGATGTTAACAATGTAGAGTCAAAATGCTGTGTAATGAATTATGACTTGAAAATCCATATTCCTGGAAGGAGAACTATCTATACCTAATATTGTTCTTGTGCTCTTTTGAAGGGAACATCCTTCTTTATCAGAACTTCCCATGTTTTCTTATCCGGATTTCTTCACCAGAGCTGATGAAGAATTGGCAAGAATCATTGACCATCATGTAAGATTGACTTCCTTAAACTAGCAGCAAAACCTTTGTTCTTTAAATGCACTTTGAATTAGAAAGTGCAGTTCTGAGACTAAAACATTAACACATCAAACTTAGAAATGAAGCCATGATTAGGCATTGCCAAACTTAATTATATCTTACTGTGCTGTATATATACTTCAGTGCCTTTATTGGGTTACAGAAAATTTGGCTTTCTGTCATTTGTAAAATACTAGCCTTATCATGCTTCCTGAATTTAGTCCTGATTTCTTGTGACAAGGATCTGGTATTGAACACTGAACACTGATTTCTTTTATAATGTGGTTTTAGTAATGGAACAAAAATCTTTTGGCTCAATTTTTGGTGATCATTCTTTACCCCTGAAATATTAGACTTTAATCACTTTGTTCTTGGTATGAGTTAAACAGTGGCAATTCAAGGCCATTCACTTAAGACACCTTAATCCACTCAGCTATATTTAGTTCATGATTTATGAAATAATTTTGTAACTTTTTAAGAGTAGAGTTGGAGTAGAAGAGAAAATACTTATTTTCTCTTTTTCTTTGAATACAGTATGGACTCAATAGCTTATAGAATATGTTTAATTAATTGTATCATCCTTTTATTCACTAATGAAGTTTCTGCGAAACCAATATATTATATATACAGAACATTATACAAATTTTGTAATGGTTTATAAGTTGCAGCATCTGTATTTCACTATTCACTTCAACTAAATGGTCTAGGATAGATGATAAGGGATAGCAAATAGCCAATGTGTATATACACGTATATGTAGTGTCGTTTTAATAACAGAACAAAAACCTTTTGACTGAATTTTCAGTGACAGTTTTTTAGCCTTGAAAGATTGATAAGACTTGAATCATTTTGTAATTAAACACATCTGCCTAGGCTAGTTCAAGAGACAGAGGACATCCTTTTGAATGGTAGAGAGGAGGCAGGTAGTAGCGCCTAAAAACCTTCATCTTTTTCTCTTTCCAAGGATGTAAGCATTATCGAAGTAATTGCTGCCACGGATCTGTTTATAGTGTATTCGCGGAAGTGTAAAGGAATTCTTTCTCAAAATATGTTTGACAGTTAGTAGAACCCAAATTGTTTGATAGGTGGCTAGCCTAATCCAATAGTCTGCAGTATTGGTTGGAGAAGGTTATGGAAGTTTCTCCTGGTAGCACATTTCAAAAAATATTCATGTATATATCATTTCCTTTCAGATAGCTATAGCAGTAGTGCTCTATACTTATATTTGCTTTTACATTAGTTAATGTGATCTTCACAACAAGCCCTATAAAACATTTATAAAAAAGAAGAATGGTAGTTTACAATGCAGTTATTTGCCTAAGGTTTTGAAGATAGTAAATGACTAACGTTTTTTGAGTCTACACACAAAACCAGATTTCCAGACTTCAAATCCACTTTTCTTCTCTGGTTTTCATAGTTGCTTAATTTCTTGGTTTATAATTCCTAACCTTAATAGGGCGGAAAGGTGGAATCTGTGGTATTGACAAGAAACAAAAACCTACAAGTTTAGTTGTCCCATTAAGTCAGTTGAATACTATGAAGTGGCCATATTAAGCAAATAATAAGGCAGATACCTCTAATTATTCAGCATATATTAAGGTGCCATGTACACTGCTGGTATTCTATACTATGGTGATTAAAATCCTGACTGAGTGGGTTAAATAAAGCAGTAAATAGTGCTTCCATTTCCCATCAACTTCAACCATATCTACATCCTCCTTCTTGCTGCCACAATCGATGATAACAGTATCAGATAAAGTAAAGACAAGACAATGGTTTATCCAAACTGAATTTGTCATGGTCAAGAGAGACAGAATGGGGAAGAAAAGTTTACTTTTTTTCCTGGGAATACCAGGAAGAAAGATAATAATGTTGTGGTGAATTCCAAACATGCCAAGTTCTTTTTTTTTTTTTTTTTTTTTTTTATGAATCTTAAATTCTATTCCTGAAACCCAACATTACTCTGTATGTTAGCTAACTAGAATTTATTTTTTTTTTATTTTCTTTTTTTTTTTTTATTTATATATGAAATTTATTGTCAAATTGGTTTCCATGCAATAGCACTGCTAGGAATTTATCCAAGGGACAAACATGCCAAGTTCTAACAAGAGAGTGAGCTAAGAGAGAGGTAGAGCTGCCTCCTGGACATGAGCAATATGATACCCCATTACCACTTTTATACATGCTGTTTGGGAAACCAAAGGGTTCTATTTTGCTGAGAGTTCTTAAGAATTAATCCTCTGTTGATTTTTCACAATGTAAAGATCAAGGTCACGAAGTACATTGAAATCTCTCATATAAGGTAGATTAGTTGCCTTTGTTTAGGGATACTGTCATTATTACATCAACTACCACTTTTATGCTATAACATAAATTTGGTAGTTTTGTCAAACAATATTATTTAGTTTTTTATATGACAAAAATTATATGTCACAGATGGGTATCATAGTTATCAAAGTAACATGTGTATTTCCTATGTCTTAAAATTTAACTTAGGGTAAGAAAAATGAGTATTTTATTATGCTTTTTCATTTAATATTTACTCTGAGTGTATTGACATTTAAAAAAATGTATTGCCTTTGGAAAGCTGAGTTGTTTTTTTAACTCTGTGGTTTAGTCCTGCTTATTAATATCTATAGATCTCAAATAATAGTTATAATTCACAGCACTAGTATATAGTAATTTATAAGTTAATTGATAGGTGCTTAAGCATAGTCTGATTGTTTGTGAGTATGGACAGACTGAGGGTGACAAAATGAGCAAGGGTAGGAAGTGTCTAGGAACTTCCAACATTTCATGCTAAGGGTCTTTGTGCCCTGAACTTTTTACCCGGAGAGATTACCACCTCTTTCACTCTTTCCTTCATTAAAGATAGTAGAAGGGGAAAAGGGTCCTCATGATGATGTCTGGTTGATTTGAGGTCCTTACTTCTAACTACTGATTCCTAGAATTTTGCCTCCAGATGATGCTGTTATTATTGTCATGATTAACATGCTCAATTGAAGTGAATCCTTTAGAAGTCTTTGTATTTGCTGCAGAATCAGCATTTGTCTGCCCATCAATTTTATTTTCTACTTCATATGTAATAGTATTATAATTTTTACCTTTCACATTAATTTGGCTTTTCTCCTTGTTTTGCTTTGGCTTGAGTTTTTATTTTCTGATTCCATGCTATCATGGAAATATCCATATTGATGAAAAACTGAAATTCCTTTGTAATATAAAAATGTAAACCTTATTTTCTCTTTTTTCTCTCTTTTTTTTTTGGGGAGGGGAGGGGAGCAGAATTGTATACTTACTAACAGATGGCTTATATATTTTTCCAGTTATGGTAGGGTTTAAGTTCCTTAAGAATATCTGTGAGAAAAACTGAGAAGATAATTGGATAATAGAATCTGCATCTTAAGAAGCTAAAGTGATGTATTTTTTCATGGAAATTCATATGTAAATGACACTTTCTCTCTGTGACAGTGGCAGGAAGAGCTAAAGATCCGACGGAAAGAAGATGCAATATGTGAGGCCCAAGAACGTAAAGACAAAGAGTTAGAGGAAAAAAATCACTTCAGAGAAATTATGAAGAGAAGAGAAGAGAAACTACACAAGCAAACCAAACCCTACGAGCTTCCTCCTAGGACTGAAGTAATTTCATTAGAAATAAAATGACCCCCCCACCCCCGCCCCAAATTGAAGTCCATAATGCCAGAAATTCATTGCATGAAAGAGACCAAGATAGCTAGATATTAGGAAAAATTTCTTCTAATTAATTGGAAGCCATTTCTTAGGAGTTGTTATCCTGGTGCAGACTCTTTAATAGTTCTATCTTAGTCCTAAATTAGCAGCTCTTAATCACATGTGAGTGAAGTGATTTTACTAGTTAAACTTTTCCAAGAACACGGCTAGAGCTTTTCCTAATTGACTTTTTTCTTGTGATCATATAGCATATTTAATCAATGATTCTCAGAGTATTGATTTTTCATCGGACAGTTAGACGGAAATGAATTACAAATTATTAGTCACATTTAAGGATTATTTCTTGAAAACAGAATGAGCACCAACTGATACCCCTATATTATACAAATATACCCTTATTATACAAATAAAAGGGTATACCCTTGTATACCCTTATTATACAAATAAAAGAAGTAAAGCACTTGCTTGGATTTGTATTTCATAGTCAATCAACACCACATCAAACTGTATGTCAGAAACTTGAAATTGAAATACTATAGTAGATATACAAATATCTGGAGGGGCCAGATATCTCAGAATGATTTGGTCTTTAGCACATACCAAAGGAGACCCCTGAATGACAGTGGTTTTACTTTGCAAGATGAGTTTATGAGGATGGATGTGGATGGTCCTGGAAGGCACAGTAACACTTCCCAGAGGGATTCATCCAGTTAGAAGTCATTTTTTAAAAGGCACTTCACGTCCTCTGAAGCTCTGAATCTATGGGTAAGAGTATTGGGTTGGGATTCCTGTGATGGCTTACATTCCTTTTCTGAAAAATATAATAATCACACCTCAATTTCACACAGCTGACTTGCTGATACTCAAGAGACAGTTAGCTTATCAGGGATATTAAACTCAAATGCCTACCAGCTCCAGAAGGTAACAGAAATCAGTGAAAGGGGCTATGGAATACCTACGCTATATAAAGAAAGTTCCTAGCACTCGGCTACACTCTGCAATGTATGGTCAGTAATATAGGATCATACAGTCTTTCCAGAAGAAGTTCTCAAATAGGATTATTTTTTAAAATAAAAGTTGCTAGGGATACCTGGGTGGCTCAGTCAATTGAGCATCTGACTTTGGCTCAGGTCATGATCTCACGGTTCGTGGTTGGAGCCCCGCCTCGGGCTCTGTGTTGACAGCTCAGAGCCTAGAACTTGCTTCAGAATCTTTGTCTCCTTCTCTGTCTGCCCCTCCCCGCTTTCTCTCTCTCTCAAAAATAAACATTAAAAAAAAAAACTTAAAAAAATAATGAAATAAAAGTTGCTTAATTTTAAGATGGTGGCAACTAATTTTTTTTAAAGAAAAAATCATATAATTTGGGGTTAAATTTGACATATGGGCCACAAGTTTGTGACCCATATTATGTGAACTTACAGTGTCAATCTTTGTTTAACATAACAATAACACGTAGTAGAAAAATGGAAGGTGGGAAGGGTGTTTTTATTATGATTCCCTATAGGGCTGTTTCAAATCTATGTTGCTCTTCCCAAACCCTTTGTGTCATCCTTGTCTCCTCTTACATAGAGTAAGTCAGTTCTCAGATATAATACCTCCCAATGCACCTTTCCAAATACCTTCATTAATATGTGCTTTCTCCACATGTGAAAAGAAATCTCTCCTACAGTCTCCTTTCCCTGAATTTCACCCCTTTCAAAATCTTCCTCCATCAGCTATTCACTATCCCCCTTGAAGAGCTCCTTATCACTCACTCCTATCCAGGGAGGTCTCAATTTTCTACCATCCTTCCTACCAAACTACTCTCTCCATCAGTCCCTCAGTGATAGCAGCCTTTCTAGACTGCCCTTTTAACTCATAACTTTTCTGATGATTTGTAAGAGAGGGAACCACTGGGCCGTGAGCTGTGGGGAGGGACTCTGGACATCTCACTGCTACTTTCAAGAATTTCAGCAAATCCTGCTGTTTCAGAACCACTTTCGTAGAAGCCTCCTGCTTCCAATTTCTGTACTGTTCCTTCTCTGGGGCACTGACTGGTCTGCCTTAGGGCTTCCTCACTGTAGACTTAGGGTCATTTACTTATTTTTCTGCCCTGCTTAGTCTGTTCCCAATTGTTCACCTGTTTTCTAACTTCCATGTTTTTCTTAGTATTACCAATGTGTTATCTTCTTTTCTCCTTATGGATTTATGCCTTTAAAAAAAGTAATTCTGGGGTGCCTGGGTGGCTCAGTCAGTTGAGCATCCGACTTTGGCTCAGGTCATGATCTCGCAGTTTGTGAGTTCAAGCCCCACATCGGGCTCTGTGCTGACAGCTCAGAGCCTGGAGCCTGCTTCGGATTCTGTGTCTCCCTCTCTGCCCCTCCCTCACTCATGCTAAGTATCACTCTGTCGCTCAAAAATGAATAAACATTAAAAATGTTTTAAATAAAAGTAATTCTTTTTCTATCACAGTAGTGGAGATTTGTAAGGGAGCAAAGAATACACACACACACGTATAAATATATAGAGAAAGAGATGATTAATCAGAATGCTTATACCTTTATTCTTAAATTATTCTCTAAAATTCTTTTTTCTTATACTTTAAAATTCATAGAATCTAGGAACACATCTCTCTCTTGGTTTTCCTCGTATATCCTTAAATTTTAGCAAAGGCTGTGATTCATAGATCTGGGTTCACATTCTAGCTATGCCTCCTACTAGCTATGAAACACTGGGTATGTCACTGAACCCAGTGGAGCTTCAGTTTACTCATCTATAAAATGGATACAGGGGGAGGAGCCAAGATGGCAGAATAGCATGGAAGCTTTTTGTGTGTCTCGCATCCCTGAAATACAGCCAGACCAACACTAAACCATCCTGCACACCTAGAAAACTCATTGGAGGATTAACACAACAATCTGCACAACCTGAACCACAGAATTCAGCAGGTATGTGGTGCAGAGAACTGAAGTTGGGGAGCGAGAAGCTGCAATAGGTAGGGAACCGATTATGCGGGTAGAGAGAGGACAGAGACTGGGGAGGCAGGGGGATACGGAACAAGCACCCCTCCCCAAAAGCAGCTGGAGAGAAAGTAGAAAATTGTAAACAGCCACAGGGACTAAACTAAAAAGGGAGAAAGGGGAAGGTTTAAATTCCATTAAGACTGTAAACAAGGGGAGCACAAAGGCTGCAACTCCGCAGCTCAATACCTGGTGGTGCTCTGGTGGGAAGGGCGAATCCCCAGGAGCAGAGTGGGGTCCGGGAGGTTCTTGGGCCACATGGGGAGAAGCGGTTCCACTGCTGGAAGGACATTTGGTAGAGACTGTTGGAGCCACCTGGTCCCAGCAGACCCCAGAAGGCGGCCACATTTGCTGGTGCTGGAACAAGATCGTTAAGGGTGAAGCCTGGTGCCAGATGTGTGTTGTGATTTTCCATAATCCCTGAGGTGCTGCTGCTACACTGTCTCACGAGCATTTTCTGGGACAGGCTGGCACCTGACCGCAGTCTCAGGGCACTGGCAAAACAGGGTCCAGTGAGCATACCTGGGTGCAGCCAATACTCAGCCACTGCTCATTCGGCCATTGCTCAGTGAGACCCTCCCACAGAGAGTGGAGCGGGTCAAGGGCGCAGTCCTTCGGAAGTCAGGGGCCAGGGAAAATAGCCGCATCTGAGACAAAACTTGGGAGAGAGGTGCTGCTTGGGGCCTGGTCAGGGAGAATGGAAAAGCGGGGAGTGGACGAGAGCCGAAGACGGAGGACTGGTGTGCGACTGCTGATCCAGGAGAACAGTTTGGGTGGCTGGGTGGCGCCATTTTTCAGCGCCCCCACGCATGCACATGCGCGCCAACAAGCACCGCAACAATTCACCCCAGTAGGCCAGCAGCGCCATCTAGGGGAGAGCAGAGCTGTTACACCGAGCCCTGCCCAACTGGGCCAACTTTGCTCTTCAAGAACAAAGTCTCACCACGGGCTTAATTCATGGACTATAAAGAGCTACATAGACTGACTTCTAGGGGAAAAAAGCAATTTCAGTCCTACTTCAATCTGTTAGTAGGTTCATCTATTAAATTTTCTTTCTTTTTTATTTTTCATTTTCCTTTTTCTCTTTTACAATTCTTTTCTTTTTCTTGAATGCAGAAAGAGAAAAACCTCATTTTTATTTTCAATTTCTATTAATATTTTTAAATTTTATTACCATATATTTTGCTTTTATATAAATTTTTTCAAATTCTATTTTACTTCCATCATTTTATTTTAGTCTACTACAATGTATTCACTTTTCAAATTTTGAAACGATTTCTTTTTTTAATCTTTTTTCTTTTTTGTTTCTTTTTTTCTAAATACACAAAATGAAAAATTCATATTTTTAATTTTTATTAAAAATATTTTTCTTTAAATTTTTTTCTACTATATTCTTTACTTTTGTGTATATTTCTTCAAATTCTATTTTACCCCCATCATCTCATTTTAGTCTACTTCAGTGTAGACTAAAATTTTTTAAATTTTAAAATTCTCAACCGATTTCCTTCCTCCCCTCCCCCCTTTTTTTCTCTAATCTGTCAAACCACTTTCAACACCCAGACCAAAAAAAACTAGGATCTAGCATCATGTATTAGATTTTTTTGTGTGTGTTTTTAATTTTTAATTTGAACATTTTTTAAGTTTAATTTCTTTAATTTTAATTTTTCTACCTCATTAATTCTTTTTCTCCCTTCAAAATGACAAAATGAAGGAATTCACTCCAAAAGAAAGAGCACAAGGAAATGACAGCCAGGGATTTAACCAACACAGATACAAGCAAGATGTCTGAAACAGAATTTAGAATCACGATAATAAGAATACTAGCTGGAGTTGAAAATAGATTAGAATCCCTTTCTGCAGAGATAAGAGAAGTAAAAAATAGCCTGAATGAAATTAAAAATGCTATAACTGAGCTGCAATCACGGATGGATGCAGCAGCGGTAAGGATGGATGAGGCAGAACAGAGAATCAGCGGTATAGAGGACAGAGAATAACGAAGCAGAAAAAAAAGAGGGAGATTAAGGCAAAAGAGCACGTTTTAAGAATTAGAGAAATCAGTGACTCATTAAAAAGAAACAACATCAGAATCATAGGGGTACCAAAAGAGGAAGAGAGAGAAATAGAAGTAGAAGGGCTATGTGAGCAAATCAGAGCAGAAAACTTTCCTAACCTGGGGAAAGACACAGACATCAAAATCCAGGAAGCACA